AGACCAGAAACAAATATGAGCTATTCTAATTTTAAATTAATACAGCATTCAAGAGGGGAAAAGAACCCAACCAATTTCTCTCTTGCAAACTGTGGATGATGTGTTTTGGACCTTCAGTTTTCTAATATTCTTGGTAACTGCTTTTTGAGTAACCCATTTATATAAGGAACACAAATAAATATTAAAGATATTGCAAGGATCCCAGTAATAATATGTACCTACAGTAGTCACCAAACCAATATAAGTAGTGGTAAGAAACCACGAGAACAGATCAAAAGAATGTGCTTGGTGGTTGGTGAATATTTTAATACACTAAGCAAATGGCTTGAGGTGACAAAACCAAGATCAGAAATATTTTTAAGTAGGTACCTACCTTTTCAGTTAAGTTTTCTGATCCAAGAGTTGTTCACCTTAAAACTAATGTGAGTTCCTTCAACATTAGAGGATGAAACATTTTAATCACTTCCCAACCATCAAAAATACAAAATTAAATAAATCATAGTATTTACCTCAAAATATTAGTCAAGGAGAGAAGAGATATAAAAGATTCATGCTCAATTTCAAAGGAACACTGTAATTAATAAAGATATATCTTGTATTCAGGAGCCAGAAATGGAAAAGAAAAGGTAAAATGAGAAGAAAAACAAAACCTTAATGATTTCTCAATCCCTGGCAGGCAGAGACTTGAAATAATTTGGGGTGACAGAATGTCAAAATCCACCGTTTCTGGGAGAACGGCATCCCAGGGTCATAGCCACCGAGGATGGAACTGTTTGTTAGCAAGACCAACAAGGTTTCCACAAATCATTTAAGGGCTAGCCTCACGTCTTTTGCATCCTTGGGTATCACACGATGATTTCATTTCAAGCCATTTGCTTTGGATGAAGATGATAAAGGGCAGCATTGAAAACAACAGCAACATTTGAAATGACCACCACAGGCAGTGAGGCAATTGCAAAGAAAGGAACCGCAACCAAAGCAGTAACTTACGGTAGCTACTTTCGCTATCGCTGGCATTAGAAGAGACATGTTCTGCAAGAACAGCACAGCAAATTAAAAGAGATACCAAGCCATCAGAGAGCAGCCAGAACTTAAAGGAATACACTCATGCAAGGCTACTAGAAATGTGAGCGAAAGGCAAGTAAAGGCCGCAGAAGAGATCACATTCAGGAAATTCAGGTAAGATAAAGAAGATGAAAACTTTATCTTCGTTTAACAGGAAGCTACTCCTTGATCGCTCTGTCTTCTTTTGAGCAAACAGGAAAGTACCTTTAATTACAAAAAAAAGTGTGTTGCTCATTTGAGCCCTCTTCATTCTATAAATATTTTGACCCAAATGGATCATATATTGATTTGCTTTTCTAGAGTAGTCCTGCAAAAGCCAGTATGTTTTGACAGGATGTTAGGAGCTTCTAGTATGTAGACTCTTTTTTTTGCAGACTTTTTTGTTTTTCTATTTTGGCCATTAGGTTTTTATCAGCAATATTGCATTTGAAATTGCTAACTGGTCCCTGGAATCCATTGAATTCTACTTCTATTTAAATGTTTTCTAAGTTAATTCTCAGGATGAAAAGGGATTTTGGAGAGCTTTCCTTCTTCTGGGAGTGAGTAGGAAATCTGGAGGAAGACATGAGTCACTGAAAAATGCTTTTTGAATCAGGTCGGTGTTTCCTTATTTATATCTTATGGTTCTTGCTTGGAAGCTGTTGGTTTCTGGAGTAGGAGAGAAATCTGATGTCAAGCACAGGTCCTGCCACAAAATATGTTTTTAATTCATGTTTAAAGACGTGCTTGTACAGTAGTATTTCAAATTGTTTTTACATAAGAACATAGTTTAGTTAGCATAACAGAAATAGATTGGTTATGTGCTACATTTAGAGGTTTTGCTTCCAAAACCATTTCCTTTTATCTGTACTATTTATTAAGGTACAGAAGGTAAATCCATCCATTTATCAACTTCTTTGTACATCAGGTTAATTAAGTGAAGAATATGTGACTATTTCATTTCTGAAGCTCATATGGAATAGCTTTAAGATTTTTAAAAAGTGACAATGTTGTACACTTTTAGAAAAATGAAAAGAATATATGTTCTTCTCAAACAGCAAAATATTATTTTAAAATCTATTTCATACTATAGATTCTTGTCACCTGATGGATTATTTTAATTTTTTAGCTGTACTGAGGTATAACTGACAGATAAAAAATCGTGACATATTAAAATTGTACAACATGATGGCTTGACTTCCATATACATTTGAATGGAGCCCCACAATTTAATTAATCAATTAAATGTGTTCGCTTTAGAACATGACCCTAATGAAAACTAAAGCATGACTTACATACACAGAGCAGTTCTCTGGTTAGCCTATGACCAGAATGGCCTGGCTAACTCAGGCAGATGTTCTGCTAGTCCAAAGGGGTGGTGGGACAGATGTGGATCAAACAGGGAAAAGGTAGTCAAGGTAAACACCCAACAATAGCGCATCTTCATCTACATGATTATCTTAAAGTACCTCGATGAGGAGATGATAGGGGCTTTTTCCCTTTATGTTAGATTTTTGCTTTTAAAATAATTTACAATGATGCTACATTATCGGAGAAATTCAAACCCATGTCTTAGGGAACAATCTCTCTTAGCATCAAGGAGCTCTATAACAGAGCTCTTCTGTTGTAGATAATGAGAAATTGAAAACATATTCCAGCTAAAGTCCAAATTCTGGCTTATAATAGTATTAATTGGCAAATAACTTTACCTAAGGGAATCTGTATAATTTTAAAGAGTAAACAAACATTGTAAACTTTGGATTTAAGAGGTCATCTCTTATATTTTTGATGTTCCAATAGCAACTACTTTTAGTGATTTTCCTTTGTTAACAATATAATAGAATGCTTTATTCCTTTTCCCAGTTGAAAATTTAGAAGCTCTCTCTGGTGGTACTTGATGTTATCCAGATAATGCTGAAATCACTAATCGAGTGTCAACCACTAGTTCAAGAAAAACTTCATGGTATATTCCATAAAGAGACTCAATCTAGATAAAGTTTTCATCTTTAAGGTGATCAGTAGTTACTCTTGATCAGATTTTGTTTTCTGGGTATACATACTCTAAAAGAAAAACCAGATTAACAGTTTGAAGGATGAAGGGTACCATTACACAAGGTTATATAAACAGTTCTTGAGAACAGAGTCCAGCTCAGTGCTATTCTGTTGTATACAAATGAAATGAACAGCTTTTAAAAATATTGCCCATAGCTTTGAACTCAAAGAAAATAAACAAAAAATGAATATGTGATAGAGTTGTAAAAGACACAAAACTCTGTTCTTATTTCACTGGAGCTTACACAATGGGGTTAGTATAAAAGAAAGAAAAATCCTACTGTAGTATATTAATACTCAGAATTATTATTTTTAATTGCTCAGTGCAGTAAAACACAAACTAAGGGCATAAATAACTAAGTAATTTAAGACTTTAATGCATTTCATTTTCCACTCTAAACTACGAAAATGAAGACCTGACATAATACAGCTAATAGACAACTGAGAGAAAAATATACTAATATCATCTAAAACTTTATTGTACAAACTTACAAGGCAGAAAAAAATAAATCAATGAAAGTTAAAAACAAAGAATTATTCATGGAAGGTCAAATAGCTGAACATTTACTTTTTGAGAATGCATGTTCCTTTTGAATATAAAATAGCTCCTTTACTAACAGAAAGTACAAAGCAACAGTGGAATATGGTAAAGCTCGTAAATATTTCTTGGTGAAAAGGCAGAAGAAAGGACACAAAGTACCTTTCTGCTTAGCTGCTCTAGGACGCTTACTTCACCCTTTCATTCACATGGCTACTGCTCTCTAGGGGGAGTGGCTGGCAGAGCCATGCTTGGCATCAGGACCATGTTGCTCATAGGACATGGTCAGAAAGGGAAGGTGTGAACTGCAACAGAAGCTACAGTGCCTGACACACTTTGCTTTTAAATGCTGACATGCAGAACAAAATGGTTGAAAATTACTTTGTAGGAGCATTCACAGCTAGGTAACAAATAAAACTCAGATCTTGTGCATGCTAGGAGTGAAAGGCCCTCAAGAAAAGAACAAAAGCCAAACTTAAAAGGAAAGAAAAGTAAGGAAAAGTTACAGTGACCATTCCTGGGAACTTACTCAGAGTCTTTGTTCCATAACCGTCGTCACCTAATCCGGGGATGTCCTGCATGGAAGTCCCCAGAGAGAGCAATGAGAGAGGGAGAACAGCCACGGAAGAGGAAGGAAGAAGTCAGTGGAGTTGAAATGGATACTACCATGACAAGACCGTGTTGCCTCAGCAATCTGGATCCCACTCTCTTCTCTTTTGTAAAAACTTTCACCCCCGTCTCCTTGGGCTGAGACGTAGGATTTATGAGACAATGCACATTTTTTTTAAGCAGAAGATTGTTATTAAAATAGAGAAAGATTTGGCAAATGTCATTTTTGCCCACTGTCATGTGGCCACAGACACGTGCCACTTAGAGCAATGATCCTTTCGAGTTTCATGATGAATTCTTAGATTTAGCATCCATCAACACAAGCATAATGCTCAGTGCTGAATTATTGAGAGGGAAAGAATGAACAAATGTGCCAGCGATCAATCTAGGTAACGATTGCTTCCAATTAGTTCTTCAAGAGATATACGTGGCAGTGGAATCCAATATTTTTGTCTCAAGCTCCAAAGAGTTGCATGATAGCAAAGGAAAACGAGACTTAGTCTTGGTCACAGGTGAATGCTGGGGGAATGTGCCATCCCAGCTTCCTGAAGTCCCTCTCCAATGCACTCTGCAAAGAAGAGCCACATCAAGGGAAGGATCCAGACTGCAGCCAAGCACTGGTCACAGTAGTAAGCCCTGACCTGCCTGCTGTGTTGGTTTGCCTAGGCGTGTGGCGTGGGAAGCCTACGTCATGCGTGTTGGTGTGACCTTTTTTCTCTTGTGCTGCATGTGGCATTCTCTTCGAGAATCTACTTACGTTCAGGATCACTGGTTTCCTGCTCACTCTGCTCCTTGTTCTTGTAGAATGGGAATTTTCGTGAAAAGATGAAGCTCTTTTTACGCTTGTCATTGAATGACTGTGAAGGAGAAAAGGCATGGGGCAAAAACAGGGGACGTCTAATTGTTGTCACACTCATGCTGACAAAACAACTAGCTTGTAAAAGCAGAGAGAGCTGTAGTGACGCAAGTGAATATTCTACAGAGGTGCCAGAAGGCCCTAAAGGCAGATTTTAGTTTTAAGGCATGTGAATTCTGAAAGATGACACCTTGGGAAAATTGTTACCTAATTAAAAAAAACTGGTGCAGGTAAGTGATGGTGAGGAGAAGCATCTTAAATAGGAAGCGGGAGACCCAGAGTCTCTGTCATGGTCTATTACTTGCTAGTCCACAGGCTTACAGAGGTAACTGAATCTCTCTGAACCTCAGCACCTTCTTCATCTGTATCGTGAGGATAACAATTGCAACTTCTAGGTTGTGAGACTCAAGTATGGCAGTGCTCTATAAATGTCATCTTTATATCATCATTATCATCAGGTAGACTTTATTAGAGAATTATCTTCTCAATGCCTGGATATCTTTTTAAATAACTTGAATTAATTCAGCTGGATTTTATTAAAACCTCACAGGGAAGTATGTAGATTTAGGATATATCATAATTATAGTATTACATGAAGATGTAGGATAATTATAGTGTAACATTTTTACTCAAAAAGGATTTTAAAGATAATTGAGTCCCAAGACTGCATTTTGTTGATAGGAGGCCAGAGGCACAGAGAGGTTGAATCCTTTGCCGATATCATAGTCAGATGGTAACAGCTGAGAAACCATCAACCACAATTGTTAAAATGCTGCTAAAGAGGTATTAACTTGAATTCGCTCAAACAAGGGAGAAATAAGAGACACTCATTTATATTCTGACATGTTAAAAAATATAAGAAGGACTGTTCTTAAAAATGTAAACTACCGCATAGCTCAAATGAGACTGAATTGAAAATGACAGAGGTATACAATATAATAGGTATGTGAACCAATTCATTCAGATGAGCATCATATGCTTCCTTAGGAAGCTCCTTAAGAAAATCCCATTTGTTCTCACCATTGCTATTATTATGTAAATGCTTTGTGGGGTTCTTCTTTGGGAAATGTATTTTTAGTCATTTCATAAATGACAGGCCAGCAGATGTTACTAATTTCATATACAAACATCATGTAAAAATTATTTCATCGGCTTGATTACCATCTTTTTTGATTGATTTGGGTCTAAGAGTCACCCTTCAAGGAATCATATCTATTACCGCATAAGTATTAAGATGAATATGCCAAAGAGTCTAAAGTTAATTTGAGAAGGGGTTTAATTTAGTAATGGAAGCTGGTTGGAATAAATGTAGAGCCAGCAAAATGATTCTTGAAGGAAAAGTGCTTCTTTGGTGTATGTATTTTGGCCAATTGATGGGAATTAGTTATGTGCCCTTACGCATTTGAAGCTTGACCAAATGGTGTATATAACTTATTTTCTTTGTATATTCATATACTCCTCTATTAAATTGTGCTAGTCACTTAGGAAACATTAAAGTATAAAAATTCTGGGGCTGTCATTCAGTAACTCATTACTTTTTTACTTCCTAGGAACTTTCACCAAATTCAGGTGGAACTTAATGCTTCTTAAAGAAGACTTTAGGAAAAATAATAAATCAAATATTTAAAGATTTTTGAAATCAGGGGGCAAATTTTATACTTCATATTCAGGTGCTGGAAATATATTCTCAGAGAAAGAATGAAGTATCACTCCAGAATTTATTACTCTGCTGATAGCGCTTAAATTCAATGTAATTTTATGTTGAATATAATTCATGATTTATCATTGAGGAATGGTATTCAAAGACAAGGCTGGGAACTCCCGCTAAATTTTCCCAGTTAAGAAATGGTAAGTTCTTAAAGGAACATTAAATATTCTTGCATCACTCCAGTTTCATGCCACTTTTACATTTCAAGCATATTTAAACTTCAGTAACTGAACATAAAAGAAAAAAAGATGTAAAACTTAATGACATGATATTGCGAGATACGTTAGACATGTAACTTTAACATTACAGATGACTTGACATGCAAAAGAAATTTACAAACTTTCATGCAAATACAAAACAATGCCAGAGGAGGAAAGCCTGGGGTTAAAGTGTAGACACAGACAATGAATGTGGAGGTCTTGAGGTCTAAAATGGGGCTGCATGCAAACCATACAACTTAAATTGTCTCAAGGGTTCAAAAGAAAATGAAAATGTGTTGTCTGTGATATGAATTCTTATGTCTGTTCAAAGCAAGAACTGTAATGTGTTAACATTCCCCAAGTATGAAAATGTTGTGTCATCTCGTTGGGGTATCATAATATTTAGTACCACAATTTTTAAAAGAACAGAAAAATACATAATAGTTTCTCAAGCAGAAAATTATCTAACCCTATAATCTTATTAACCAAAATCATTTTGCATTGAAATTAAAGATAATGACTTATATTTATGAACATAACATCAAACTACAGCTCAGGTCACACTCACAGATTTTTGAGTCACCTTATCAGGGACTTAGTTAAACATTCCAGGTCTAAGAAGTTATATGTGGTTTATGATACTTTGAAACTATTCCTTATTTTTTTAATTAGACATATATTGCCATTATATAAACTTTTGGTTGCTGTTGAATGTTTCTTTTTCAGAATGAGTATCTGTTACATGACGATTAAGTGAGGATATTAAATTTGCACTTTCACTATTTATAGAATATATGACTCCAAGCCAATTGAAGGCTGACTGATGGTTTTATGAATCATGCTTGATCAGTGCTAACATATTTTTTCTCTACATTATAGTATCTTAAATTCTGATCCATTGTTTTCATGGCAGGAAACTTTTTTTGAACAGAGATCTTATAGTAAGCGGCAAGTTGGCATATCTAAGAATTTCATTTTGGAATTTGACCTGAATTATTGAGTTCTTATGAGCAAAAGTGCAAGACATCAGCTAATGTTTATTGAGCACTTATTATCTGCAAGACTTGGTTTTAAAAAGATTACAGGTGCTGTTTCCTCACTAACTTCTTGAGGTTAGTACATCTTACACATGAAGAAACTGAAGTTTACAAGTCTCATGTTGCTCAGAGTCACACTTTTGGTGAGCAGTGAAGTCAGGATGTGAATTTGCAAGTATTCCTGGTTCTTATGATAAAAAAAAAGATTTTCTGCAACCCAAGGCAGTTTCATGTTTATATTCAGAATTAGTAGCAAAATTTGACTCTCTTAAGCACGACAATAACCTATCATCAATCCCACAGCTTCACTGTTTGACAATTATTTAAATCACCTGATACTGTTGGCTTCAACATTAGTTTCATAGGTTATCATGCTAGAATAGTTTTGATATCAACTGGTGTTTCTGTGGACTGCATTGTATTGTTATTGCTATAATGTTAAAAATAAAATACAATACATTTAGTGACACTGGCTATGAATGGTAATTAAAAGCCAATTGTCCATAATGGCAAATCTGTAGAGCCAAGGTAGATTAGTGGCTGGTTAGGGCAGGGAGTAGGCATAAAGAGAATGGGAAATGGCAGTTAATGAGTACAGTGTTAGGGGAGGTGAAATGTTCTAAAGTCAGATTGTGGTGATGGCTGCATAACTCTATGAATACTAAAAAAACACTGGTTTGTACATTTTGAGTGGGTGAATTATATACTATGTGAATTATATATCAATAGGGATGTTTTAAAAAAAAAATGAATCCCTTCCCAACCTGCATATCAAGGGATGGGAGCAAACAATAGCAGCATGTTTGAAAATTTATTTGATATAAATAATTTTTAACTTTAGTTGAATGAGAGGAAAACACCTTCCCCAACCTTGGCAATCAATTGCATACATATATCTACCTTGATTCTGTTGTGTCTCTGTTACATGAACACTTTTCATGTTGTGACAGACATTAGAGTACCATGCCAAGAGTTAGCACATCATAATTGTCACTCAGAATGCTCAGCCTGACCCCAGAATATAGTGGCATTGGTAAACAAATGGCATTTGGCTTAAGACAAAATACAGGAGTTATGAAGAAAGAAATGAAACAAAGCAACAAACTTGAATTGCTCCTCCTTCCACTGAAGTCCCATGTTCTTAAAGATACATGAGTGAATCTTGACCTTTTTTTAATCCTTCTCATCCAGAAAAATCTAAAACTAGGAGCATGTTTCAGTTTTTCTTCTCATGTTCCTATTATAATTTTTCAAGTTTCATCATTTTAAATGTCACCTTTATGATATGAATATTCTGGGCAGAATTTAGATTTAAATTTATTATTTACTGAACAGAGTAACAAAAAAACAATTTTTTTGTTACCTCCTTAGCTTTTATAAATGCTTTATTACTCTTAATTCATTCTTTCATCTTCTAAAATAATTGTTTCCTTTTGGAAAGTTGTTACTATAAGTTTAGGCCACCATATTGTACTATATTAGCTTGCTCTCATACAGAAAAAAACAGAGAATTTTAAAACAAGAGAGGTTAAAGAACAAATAAAGATGTAGCAAAGATGGTATTAAAGAAGAAAAATTAGAGTTGACCTTTATATATACCTGTAACCATAAATTAATGTGTCTATAACATTGTGTCTATAACATTTTCCAAATCAAAAGGAGTTGTTTTGGAATCTTAATGAATTCATAAATCTAGGCATTGAGCATTAACACTGTACCATCAACACTGAGTTGCTAACATCACACATACATACACACACACGAAGACAATCCAATGATGGAAGATGGAAGAAGAAAATATTACTACTAGGTAGCCCTGCAAACTACTACTCCCAAGTGAAAAAAAAAAATTGAAAGGAGATTAGAAAAGAAGGAAATATTCTTCTCCACAATGAATCTGAATCTAATCAAATTGCTAGACTCAAGTAACATTCAATAGATATAAAGAGGACAGAGAAACATGATATATTAGACAGTAAGGAAAATCTGGTATGAAACAAACCCTATAAGACAAATGATCTGGGTTCTTAAGAAAATTGAAAGAAAACAAAAAATA